ACCACCTGCCCCCCACCCCAGATGTTGCATTTCTTAAATTCCCTGTGTATGGTTTGAATGCTGAGAAGAGGTGCTAGAGGCTAGGATAGTCCAGAAGTGCTGATAAGAGCAATTTAGCTCATGACCTCATTCAATCATAGTAACTCGGATCCCAAAGTCCTTCCCTAACCACAAAATAGAGATCGTGTTCTGAACATTGGTGACTGCCTGAGTATAAGATGCCATGACAGAGGGCCAGCAGGTGGCATGGTGGTTAAGGTGGTGGACTCCCATATAGCAGAAGACAGTTCTAGTCCTGGACTCAATGGCTTGAAAATCACGTGGAGCATGTATGTACAAAACCCCAAGAAGAGGATGGAGGAAAAGGGATTGTGTGTGGCCATCCCCCCTGGGGGGTGATTTCTCACTTTTCCCCTCCCTGTCTCTCTCCAGCGAGTGCATGTGCCCTATGGCAAAAACAGAAGGTTACTGGCCCTGAAGTCAGACCAACGGAAAGCTATTCTGAGTCCCAGGAGGGAGTCTCCGGTCTAGAAGTCCGTGCAGGAGTCAGGAGTCTTGTGCTGGGCCTCGGGACATGTGATGTGCCTTGTTTGGTGGTTCAGAAGCCAGCGCCATGGAGAGTGTCATGTGTGAGCCTCTGCACAACACAGCGGAAGACCCCGTGACAATTTTTCCATTGATCTCTCCTCCTTCCGCCCCCTCACTTCCCAGACCTTCCAGGTTTCTCCCAGTGGAGGGCCTGGAGCCTGGCTCCCCTGCGCTTCGCCCTTCCTGTCTCCCTGGGCTACCAGGCTCTAATGAACAGCAAAGCATGTTGCCTGGAGCACGGAAGATAGTAGGCGTGGCCGGTGCTATCTCTTCATCTTGCCCTGCTGCAGAGATCTCCACAAGGGCTCTGCTTGCCTCTTCAGAACGTTCATGACCCCTGAGGTGAATGACCTGACCTTAAGATTGACCCCAGACCCGCAATGACAGACGGGAGAAGACCTCGTGACTTATGGTCATGCTGCGGGTGCCAGGAAATGGACACAGCTGAGGTGTACGATTCAGTTACGGTGAGTAGCTTGCAGAGCTGTGCCACAGCCTGGCAGCAGAGTCCTGGAACCCCCAGGGGAAGTGCTGTGGATTGAGAAAGGACAGAGAAAAGCAGGGGAGGGGCAGACTGTGCAGTTCTGCTCTTATTCTTTCATAGGGAAGGCAAAGCACCTCCGTGCCATGCCTTGTGGGTCTGAACACGTTTCCCAGCCTCATCTGGCTGAGGCTCAGGTCTCTCCTATCCATACTGCCCGAGGTGGATGATGTCTTTGTTTAGAGCGTCCCAGGCCCTGCAGCATAGGCACAAGGACTGCGTCCACCTTCAGGGGCTCCCTGCATCTCCCCCCTTTGTTTTTTTCTAACTTGAGCACAGAATTCTTTCTTTAACCCCCTGCCACGGTTCTTGCCGTTAAACATACCTGCTTTTCTTGCCATGGACTTTTGCCATTAAGCCTACTTTTCTTAGAGAGCTTTTCGTCTTACACCCGAGCCTTCGAATTTGTGGAGCTTATATTTTCATTTTAAACTGGGGGCATTTTTAAAAAACTACTTTCATTCATTTTGCTGTTCCTAGCTTTTTTACTCTGCCAATTTCCTTTTTTTGTTTTCCTTTTTCTTGGAGTTTTCCCTTTTACCCCCAACTTCAAGTTGACTCCTTCCGAGTCCTGCAGTCATCACCACACCTACTTCCTGTCCTCGCCCACGCATGCTCCCGCCCCTCAGTGGTGGGATGCTCTTCCGCTCCCCGCCTAGGGCAGCCACTAACCTACTCTGACTCTGTAAGTTGCTAGTCCTGCACGGTTCCTGTGAGTGGAGCCATTCTATGATCTTTTGCTTCTGGCTTCTTTCACGTAGCAAAAGGCTTTGGGAGAGCATTGGGCTGTAGCATGTATCAGCAGTTTGTTCTTTTGACTTCTGGACAATGATCCATTGTATGAAAATGCCACATTTTGCTTCTCTCTTCATCAGCTGCTGGACAGGGGTTGTCTGCTTTCTGGCTGTTGTGAATACTGCTGGTGTGAACATTTGCATGCAACATGTTTGCATCTAGTAGAAGAATTTCTGGGTCATAGGGGGTAAACTCTACTTTTCAATTTTCTCTTTCTTTCTTTCTTTTTTTTTTTTTTTTTTTTGCTATAGGTTGACTGTGCTTGCCAGAAAGACAGAGAAAGCGAGAGATACAGAAAGCGAGAAATCACCTCCTAGCAGGGGATGGCCATGCCACAATCCCTTCTCCTCCATTCTCCTCTTGGGATCTTGGGCATGCACGCACATGTGCTCGGTGTGAGTTTAAACTGCCAGATCAGGGACTCAAACCATGGTCGACTACATGGGAGTCCAGCGACAGCCATTACGCCAACTGCTGGTCCCTCAATTTTCTTTTTTTCTTGAGAAAAAGATTTTTGCTGTAGTGCGCATGCACTCACCAGAGATACAGAGAGAGACAGAGAGACAGAAAGCAAGAAATCACCCTCTGGGGAGATGGCCACACCGCAATCCCTTCTCCTCCATTCTCTTCTCGGGATTTTGGGCACATAAGCACACGTACCTGGCATGAGTTTAAGCTGCTCGGCAACTCGAACACTGATGGACTACATGGGAGCCCACCAACGTAAACATTATACGATCTGCAGGTCCCCTATGTTTCTATGTTCAAAAAACTGCCAAACTCTTGCAGGGTGACTGCACATTATACAGTACCATCGGCAACTTAAGCAGGCTTGTTTCTGCACGTCCTTGCCAACGCTTACAATCGTCTGTTTGATTATATTAACAGGTATGGCTCGGTAGTGGCAAAGTACAAACTGGTGAGTCTCCCTGTCAGGAAGGATCCCAGAGCCAGGAAGCCCTATGCCTAATTGATGATGAAACCCAGGTATGTGGCCACTGATGCAATGGTTTTCCCCTGAACTACACTAAGAAGTAACACCTTTGTTGCAGAGATGGGCTGTATCCTACTCTTTTTCACTTTCAAGTTAACCCAAAGCAAATTTCTAGAACATTCTAGAACTCCCATTCCCAAATAGTTCACTTAATCGCACAAATGCCACTAGCATGGTGCCTAGCAATGAGACCTCAGAAACACAAGCAATGTATTCCAGGAAATGATGGAAGATATTTTATATCAATCTACATTATTACTTAATGATGAAAAAGTATACCACAGGCAAAGAAAGTCCTGTGTATTTTATTCTGCAAAGTATCTATATTATTTTCCCTCATAGTTATTTTAAAAGATAGCTCAGGCTTTGGATATTTTTATATGAATATAAATATAAAAATAGAATACAATGGGCACTATGATTTTTAAAAGCTCTATTATTTACTAAGTATGGTGGTTACTCAGTCAAAATTTGCTAAAGAATTTGCCCTAAGAATAATTTTTTTTTTAAATTGCTGGAGGGTACATGTTTTCAACAGAGACAGAGAGTTGGGGGGGGAAGCACCCCCGACAGTGAGGCATGATCAGTCTAGTCCTTTCTGATCCATTTCTCCATCCTGCTGGGATTTTGGACTTGCACATGGCTGATCTGTTTTCAAGTCACCGGGGTAGGGATTTGAACTGCAGCCAGCCATGTGAGATCAGGCTCTGTGAACCATTAGGTGATAGGGCCAGCCCTAGACTTAACTTTTTTAAGGGGACCAAAAATGATACAAAATCATGACTTAGTGTTGTAATAAAATTTCATCAATTTTATTAAAAGCAGATTCCATTTCTTCACAGAGTTAGTAAGTTTCTTTAAAAAAAAAAAAAACAACATTTCATTGTGTCATGTCATGAGTAAGCTGGCTCATCGAGACCCTCACCGATAAAGACATGTACAAAGTCAGCACCACACACCCACAGACGCAGATAGCCACAACGCGGTATCGGTATGTACACGTGCCCTTACACGTCTGCACATATATTTACAGCTAATAAATAAAACTGAAGCCAAAGCACCGTGAATATATATATATATAGCAAAGTCTTCAGAAGTCAGCGTTCTCGTGCCTGGCACTCACTTGGTGAACGTTTTAAATTGATGCACCCTTGGTCAACACCCAAATTCCAAATGAAAGAATTAGCAAGAAAGGGGATGCCAACGACAAATTACTCATCATTTTATTTTTAGCAGAGAATTCATTCCAAGCCTGGTGGCCTCCGTCACGTTTGTCCCCCAGTCTCCCCCAGTTTCCCACAGGTACAACTGTCTAGGTCTCAGGTAAAGGGCTGAACTTGGGGCACAGCCGGAACGAGCACCACTCCAACGTGTTGCTCTCTTTCCAATCAGGCCGAGTGATTAGCAGACCTCCTGGGCTTTTGGCAGGAGTCTCCAGATACCCATCACCTTCACCGTCTGGGTTCCCAGCAATAACCTCTGAGACAGTTAACTTCTTTATCAGTTGTATTAATATATAGAAAAGCATTCTGAAAACATGAGATCTAGTTTATAAATAATCACTCGCTCATTCATAACTAGTTGTTAAAAAGATTAACAGCCCTCTCGGCACTTCACGTGGCTGTGGAGATGGAGGACGCTGTTTTTGTCTTACACAGGATGGTTTATAAACACTGCTTAAGGGGCTGGCAGGTGGCGTGGTGGTTAAAGGCTCTGGACTCTGACATGGGCAACTGCAGTTTGAGTCCTGGACCTGGTGGCTTGCTTTCTCACTTTCCCCCTGCCCGTTCTCTCTCTGATCAAAACTGGAAAATAATAATAATGAGAATGAATACAAATAATTCTCAAAAAAAACAAAAACAAAATAAAATGCTTAAAAACACATCCTAGTAACTTTCCCAGCTTTCACGCAGTAACAACCGTACTTGTCTAAAGTTTGTAGGCGTTTATGACACAACATTTGAACTTGAACAGCTCTTTTCTTGTCAAAACCAGGAACGAAAGGGACACAGAGAAAGCATGACCAAGCATGACTGAGATAAACCCAAAATTGAATCGTAATGATCAAAGATTAAATGATTGCAAACTGATGAAAAGAATTTGGAAAATTTGATCATAAAATTATGGTGTTATTGTCAATCTGCACCATTCGAATGCTGTGTCAGCCAAAGATTCCAGGTTTATTTTCAAAACCCACCCAAAGAACATTGTTAAAATATAGTCTTGAACAGAGAGCACTAAGGAGGGGAGAGGGAGATGAAGCAATACATTTCAGGGCCTGTTGAGAGGCTCAGGGCTTCATCAGCCTCGCTCTCCGTCCTGCTTTCCGCACCATGTACTCTTGTTTAATCTTGAGCCATATCGCGACAGCAAGATAGGAACCATTCAAAAAAAAAAATCAGACATTCTAACTGCTAAACACATGGGTCTGAATCGTGCCACACAGAGCCATGTTCTAGGTGCAGGTGTGGAGAAAACTTTGCGAAGGCCTCAGCCCAGAAAATCCAGAATCCCATGAAAAAAAGGGCTTCTAGCCCATTTTGGTTATGCCCAGACACACCACGTGAAGGAGCCTTATTTTACTATGGGCGCGAGCAGTTTTTATTGCTTTCTCGAAGGACACAACGCAGTGCTTTCCACATCTGCGTCTTCAGCGTGGGAGGCTGTGCTGTTTGCCGCCACCTTCCTCGAGTGGAATTAGCCACGTTTTAGTATTCTCTTTAGAGACCGTCCCTAAGTAACTAACAAGGATATAGCTGGGATGAATGCTCAGGAAATTCCACTAGTAAACCCACGATGCTGGGCATCCTTTGTAAAAGTCCCTTCATTAGTATCATTATTCTTCATAGAATTTGCGCATTGTCCTCCTTTTTTCTTTCTGTTTTTTTCTTTTCTTGTTTTGCCCAGTTTCTGAGAAAAAGCAAAGGAAGAGGGAAATGCATAAGTGTTTCACAACCGCCTCCCCTCCCCCACCACTTTAAAAAGAATTATTTATTTAATTTTATTCGTTATTATTATTTTTTTAATTTGCTGTAGGGTACACGTGTTCACAAGAGAGAGACAAACAGAGAGAAAGCGAGTCACCAGGTCCGGGATTTGAACTGTGGTTGGCCATATGGGAATCCAGTGCCCTAACCACCAGGCCACCTGCTGACCCCTCCACCACCATTTTTATGGTTCTCAGGTAAGAATAAACTAGGAGAGAGGTAGATATTGGATCAGAAAAAGTGGTAGGATCCGAGGAATGAACACAACTCAGACATGTACGGAGCCCAATCTCAGTGAGAAGGACCACCTTCAGAGTGCGGGGCCAAGTGATTTCAAATGCCAGAGGGTTTCTCACTCCTAGAAGGTACCCAGTGAAAAGCCTGTTTTGTTCCCTTTCTCGTAATGAGTTAACAGAACATGGAGGAAAGAGAACCTTTCATTTCACTGATTTATTTTAATCACAGAGAATAAAAAAACACAGAGATTATTAGTCTGTTAATTACCTCCGAGATAAAGTTCAAATGTATTTTTCAAAAAGCTGCCTAAACTTGTACTGTTCCCGTGCCCTACACTCAGACGAGGGCTGTGTCTCCTAAGACTCTCTGAGGTAAGCTCTCATAACATGTAAGAACTGTGGCCAGATGTGCTTTATAAACAGCTGGGGTTATATCCTCATTTGGGAGGGTTTGTTTTTATATTCACATAGACTTAAAGTTGTAGATGATTTGGTGGTATGTATGTGTACATGTGTGTCATTTGGGTGTAACATAAGTGCACATGTAAAACTTCATAGAGGCGGGACCAGCAGATGGCATAATGGTTACATCGCTGGACTCTCACATAGTCCTGCGGTTTGAGTCCTGGACCCGACGGCTTAAAACTCATGTTCAGTGCGTGTGCATGTGTGCCCAAAATTCTGAGAGGAGACTGGAGGAGAAGGGACTGTGGTGTGGCCATCCCCCCTGGGGGTGATTTCTCACTTTGTTTCTCCGTCTCTTGTTTCTCTGGCAAGTGCACGTGTCCTATAGCAAAAAAAAAAAAAAAAAAAAAAAAAAAAAAAAACCTCTCAAAAAAAATTCCATAGAGGAATCCCTTTCTAAAATTGCAGCAGAAGTGAAATGGACTCAGATTTGCAATGAGGAAAATAAAAGCAATGAATCTCTTAGAAGAAAAACCTCAGAGAAGAATTAGGAAAGAACTAAGAATTAGAATTAAGGTAAGAATTCAGTTAATCTGCCTGATTCTGAACCAGTACCTATTCTCCACTTCAAGTTTATCACGAGTGTGCCTACATTCATGTTTTAGATCCAGATGGCCTCAGCTTGTCCTTCAAAGTATGCATGCCATAGTACCATCTTCGTAAAAGAGGGAAAAGAAATATACACGTACAAGGAGATTTCAAAGAATTCATAGAAAAACAGAATTAAAGTAGAAGTGAATTTTGGTAACAAAATGAAAATTGAAATCCACGCATAGCTTTTCTTTAAATGCTTGTTTTCCGTGAACTTGTCGAAGATCCCCTCATATAAAGTATGAAAGGATATATTAATACATCGAAATGTTCACTGAGTTTGTCCCTAGGTGACGGGGCCGCAGTGGTTTTTATTTTCGTCTGTTTTTCTGAATCGAGTCATAGTGAACGTATGTACCCCGCATGACAAAGTAGAAGTGGAAAAGAGAAGACCGGTCCCACATCGCACTTCCGGTCTTTGTCCTGCGAACAGGCAGCTCTCATGCTGCACTTCGGTCTGTAAGTGTGACCGGAGAAGAGGACCAACCAGGAGAGGCTGCCTTGTCTACTTGCACGTGACACTGTGTCCAGCCTTTGCCTTCGTCACTGGCCTGTGATGTGACCTAACGTTTCCCCCTTTATCCCTTTAGCCCATTAGCACTTGGCCTCTGGCAGGGGACAAGTGGAAGAATGCGAATGGCATAGCCCAGGAATTGGGGAGGACAGTGGAAGGTCACATGCTTGGTCTCCGCTGAGTCCAAGCGCTCTGGACAGATTCAGCTGACAGCTGAGCTGCCATGTGGATTAGTCCTGAAGGTCAGGTAGGAAGAGCCAGAGAGCTGCTCTGAGTTGGCGATGGGAACCGCTCCTACGCGCTCACTCCCTCAGCTCCCTAGCTCCCCGACTCTGGGAGTCTTGAGAGAGCTGCTTGACCCGCCCCTTGACTCTCTGTCCTGGAGTCTTGAAGTCTACATGGTGACAGTGGATGCGTGGGACCTCTGACTTCTGCGTACACCCTGGGGAGGGCCGCACCCACAGCTGCAAGGGCAGCCGTGAATGTATGCTGCATGCTGTGTGCTGTGCAGAGAGCATCTCTAAAGGGATTAAGAGCAGAGATGCAGCAGAGAAAACAGCAGAAGTGATGATCTTGGGGCAGTCCAAGAATAAAATAAACCCTAATATGTGCACCTGGGATGATGGTCAGGGCTGGGAGAACAAAACAGAAGGAGAAAGGAAACAGAGAAAGAATGCAAGAGCCGTGAGCCCATCTGCTACACACACAGAAAGGCTCAGAATGTGCTGAGCAGGAAGTTAGCTCAGGGGCCTTTAGTTCTGGGGAAGGACAGTGCGTGAAGCTCAAGACGGCCCCGGAGCTCAGCCAGGGTGCTCACCAGCCAGACTTCTTGTTCAGAGACTTGTCGTGGCACTTCACAAAAACCGCTGGTGCCTTTCCTTTCTGCAAACGGGACACTTTCTCCCTGGAACAGAAGATCACCCTGCAGAAGACAGCAGATGCAGAAACATTGATGAACAATTAGGAAAGTCTGATAAAAAGTACAGCTTGCTCAGGGATGCTTAAACGCTCAAGATCATGCTGGTTAACTGATGCTCCCAGTAATTAACTAACTTTCAGACTATCTCTGAATCAGAGGGTTAGTTGAGACCTTGGCCTAGTATCCAGCAAATGAGCTGGTTAATCCGCCTAGACAGACAGGCCTACAGACAGCCCAGGACGACCTGGCTGAGACCTGACTTCCCATCCCAGCTCTCAGGCTTTGGTTTCCTTTAGTGAACTGCAGAAATGCCAGTACCTCCCCAGTACGACCATAAAGCACACTCTGAAGAGCTTTCTGGGTAACTCTGACCATAGGTCTCCAGGGTTCTAAGACCAGGCTTACTGAAGTTTCACCTGCATGTCAAAGACCCCTAGATAATGACATTGGGGTGAGGCTGAGCGATGGAGAAAAAGAAATTCAATCACTTTTTCTGAGTCTCTCCTGCTTTTACTCTGATCTTCTCAATAGCAAAGCCGGGGCTGCTCCACCAGTCTGACCAGCCGAAGTAGGAGTCACTCTTCCACGCGAGCTTCAGCATCAGAAGTTCCCCGATGTCCACCTCCGTGTAGATCAGGAACGAGTAGGTCTTATTCGTGGCAACCTCAGGCCTGGGTTTAAAAATGAACACATTTGGTCAGTTATGAAAATCAGCCTCTTTTCCCTCCTTCTTTTCTCTTCCCAAGATGTAAATAGTTTTATTGTTTGAGAGCTATTTAAGAAATGCAAAAAATGTCCCACAAAATACACAAGATAAATGTCAATGGCAGCTCGTGTATTTAAAAGAGAATTCCACCCCTTTAATCTATCCCACCACGAATCCTCATGATACGAACTACTTCTGCAGTTCCTAGGAGAAAATAAAACGCACAAGCCCGTCATTGGGAGTCATTACTTCCGTTTTCCTCTATTCCTTTTAGGATTCGTGCGGATGTAGGAAAGTGATTTACTTACTGGTCACAGTATATACAGAACTCTTTAGTCTTCTTTGGTCCCTTCACATTTTATCTCCCACTTTTTGCCACATTTTACCTAGTTTCTATAATTGTACTTTTTTTTAGAGAAAGTTTTTTTTTTATTGTTTGCTTTTTTTTTTTTTTTTTGGACAGGTTTTTGCTACAGGGCGTGTGCACGCACCACAGAGACAGAGAGACAGAAAGACAGAAAGCGAGAAATCACACCCCAGGGGGGATGGCCACTCCGCAATCCCTTCTCCTCCATTTTCCTCTCAGGAATTTAGGCACACACACACACACATGCCCAGCATGAGTTTTAAGCCACTGAGTCCAGGACTCAAACTGCGTTTGACTACGTGAGAGTCCAGCAACGTAACCATTACTCCATCTGCTGGTCCCTGCAATTGTACTTTTTAGATTGGTTGCGTTGACTTGACCAACTCCCATTAATATAATCATTGACTCCATACTGAACACTTGGTTTCTAACTTAAGCTATTCCATGTACCACTGTATAGAAGGACCACACGTTACAAACAATTTTTAAATTTCTGCTACTTCTTTAAAATACCAGAAAAGAGATTCCTCTGTTCCAAGTAGGCATGTTAGAGCAGGTGGAAGTGACTGGCATCCTCCCCGCCCAGGGGCCTGTATTCATAGATGTGACACCCCTAGGGGTGCGTGGACCCCTTTGCTACCCCAGGCACTGCGTATCCCAAAAGGTTTATTCATTTAATAATTACAAAGAGGTGCCATAAACTTGCCTTTTGTTTTTCTTTTATTTATTTTCTATTGCTGTGTGTTTACACAGAGTCTCACTGCTGCCACCCTCCTGCCTAGCTCCTGAGTGGCTGAGACCACAAGCTCACGCTGCCGTGCCTGGTTCTGTCGGACAGGACCTCCTGACGGGGCCCTCACTGCCTGCGAGCCAGAGGTCCTCCTGCCTCAGCCCCTAGTAGCTGGGACGATGGGTGAGCTCCAGCATACCCGCTTTCAGGGTGCTCAGGCATCGCACCCAGGCCCCCCGAATGGCCTCGGCTGGCCGAGCGGACAGCAGCCAGTGCACACTGAGGCCGCTGGGCTAGTTCTGCGTCTTTGATCCACAGTAAGGGGTAACTTCGTCATGGCCTTTTTCTGCATAGGTTTTCCACACACATCACATTCACACCTCCACAACAGAGTGGTGTGTGGTTCTGTTATTCATTCCCTTTAATGTCAAGCCTTTTGAAGGAATTCAATTGTTGTTTTGTTTGAAACTAATCATGTAAGGACCAGCTGGAGGTGGAGGGGCGACCTGACTGGACCGCATGGTCCTGGGCCCTCCGGAGCATGCTGGTGGCCGTGTGCACACCCCGGGTCCTGGCTGGCTGGGCTGTGGTGGAAGGTGGCATGAAAGTCCTGTTAGGGGTGCTTCTCTCTCTCTCTCATGGAAGATATTTAAAAAAAAAAAAACTTAGAAAAGATTAAAAATGGCTGTAAAAAGGAAATAAGGATGTGTAAAATGTAAAAGGAAAGAAAAATATAGATAGTAACTACACCAAATCACCAATTTGAAGAACTTTCTTCTCATTATAAAACAGAGCAAAGACTTCAGTTTTGAGATTGCAACTTCCTAAGCTGGAGACTGGCTCCCCAGGGGCTCCGCCTGCTGCCTTTCTCAGGCTGTGGTTATGGCGGGCCCTGGGACCGGGATGAACCCGCGTGGGGAGGGGCCCCGTGCTACTCACAGGGTGAAGGGGATGTTCTCGCTCTCAGCCACGGTGCCATACAGAGAGATCTCGAAGGCCTGGTTGGTCTGCTTATCACTCTCAGTCCCAGAAAAGTGAATCTTGACTTGGTAGTGGAAGACTGGGGAGGAAATGAGAACATGGGCTGGTCAGTCACCATGGAAACAGCACAGATGCCAAACATGCAATCCAGCCCACAGACGCATCTCAGGAGAGCCCCCTAGCACTGTCAGCGTGGCGTGGGAGATCTCTTCATACTGTATAGTTCACACCTGGAAAACCCGCACCCTGAATTCCACGCCCTTTCAGAAGTGTGGTTGCAGGGAACAGGAAAAGCCCAGTGTACCTGAATGGCCCGGTTGTCCTGAGGGAGTTGTCTTTGGGAGAATACTGGGGGGACCAAGCAAAAGGCCAAGCCCCCCAGCCCCATCCTCCCTCCACGAATTAACCCCGCCCTGAGTCACCATCCTGTTCACAACATCAGAACCAGCAGATTTGGCCTGTCCCAGCGTCCCCATGTGCAGCTGAGTTCTCCCTGTGTCATGGGTGTGCCTTCCCCATGTTTAACGTACAGAAGAGTGCTCTGTTGTACTGTTATTCGTTTCCTTTAGTGTAATGTAATTGTTGTTTTGTTTGAAAATAACCATATAAGGGCCAGTTGTGGTGTGGGGGTGACCCAATTGAACCCTCGTGGGGAAGGTGGGCCCTATCAGGTCCGAGGATCGGGCCCACAAGCCTCTCCTCTACCCGCAGCACAGCAGAGTGTTCCTGGCAGGCTCAGTACACCTTACTGCACTGACCCAGCAGGGGGCACTGTAGGGCCCTTGCAGTCAGTCCCCAACGTGGAAGATTAGGGAGCGTCTCTGGAGGCAGGTACTTGAACTTGAACTTGTGCCGTTACTCCTCCCTCCTCTCTAGAACATACTCTGTGCAAGTGAGACCAGGTGAGGTGGGGCCACAGGGTAATGCCAGCTACCGTGATGGCGGAAAGAGCTACGGGGATGCTTTTTCTTCCTCTCCTGAGATTCTTGGTCCAATTTTTCCTTATCTGTGTTGCTGTCTACTAAATGCACACAGATTTTTAAACACTAATGATTTAGAAAACAGAGAACAATATTTTTATGTTACTTTAGAATTTGTTCTAATGAAAACGTTTTTAATACATTTGGCTGTTGTGAGCGACAATGACAACCACTATTGTGCTTAGATACATTTCATTTTATAATAAAAATAAACAGCCAGATACTAAGCAAAAGCAAATGAAACAACAGCACAAGCCCACAGCTACTAAAAGAAATCGCATCTGAGGTTAAATGGGGCCCTTTATAGGCCCACCACAGGCCAGGGCAGGACAGGTGGGAGGCCCAGGTGCCAGTGGCCGTGGGACACTTCTGAAGGGTTAGGGAGCCTGAGGCTTTCCTCATTGCCTCAAAGTCTTCCTAGAATCATAGCTACTCTGACATCTGCCACCACGTGCTCCTTCACAGAGTCTGACAAGTCACCCTACAGACAGGCACCCCGCAGATATGTCACCTGAGGAAACTGTACTTACATACCATCCTGTCCCTCAGGCTTGCACCTGGACTGTGCAGAAGTCAGCCTTTCTGCGATCACTCCCTCTTCCCAGACTGATGTTGCCCCCCTCCCATATCCCCTCCACACCTTTGAGTCTTGCTCTATGCAAGAGGCCATGCTTGAAACTCAAGTGTGAAATGAATTCATGACAAAATGGAAATACCTTAGAAGGTCTGGTAGTCTTGCCTCCCAGGGATGAGTGCATTTTAGAATATGGACCATGCTTGCCTTCATAGAAAGCCAACTTTACAAGAGGCAAACTTTCTACAAGGGGCCGGATAGTAAATATTTCAGGCCCTGGGGCCACGTGTTGTCTGTCTCAATCACTCAGCTCTGCCATGGTGGCATGAAAGAAGCCATAGGCAGTGTGGGAGTCAATGTGCATGGCTGTGTTCTAATAAAACTTTATTCACAAATACAAGTGGAAGACTGGATTGGACCCAAGAACCACTGTTTGCTGACCCCAGAGTGATGGTTTCAAATCAACTCTAAGCCCCAAGCTGACAGTCTGGCCTGTGCTAATTAATGGTCACAGTTACAGAGGAGGGTGGCAGGTGAGGCTGCAGATCCCAGGTGTCCTGACTGCTGGCTCACACTGGGACTTAGGCTATCAGAAAATGACCAGAGCAACTCCTATCTCAGTGGAGACAGAAGTGAGGGTCTGAGTGGTTCTGTGACATCACCTCGCTGTCTCTGCTCCGAGGGGCAGGGTTGGCACGCCCTGTAGTGAGCAGGGTGAGGCCAGGATGATGGTCTGTCCTACCTCTAGCAGTGCCCCGCCTACCTTTGTAGGGCATCTGAGCGCGGGTCTTCAGGTACATCTTGCTGCTGCGTTTGGCTCGGACCTTATTAATCTCATAGCCCAAGTTGTTGCAGCGGTTCTTCCTGCAGCTCAGACAGAGCCCTTTCTCGAAGGCCTCCTTCGAGTTGCACCGGTAGGCTTTACTCGGACTTTCCTCGTTCAACAGGGAGTCGATGAAGAGATGGATGGAGCGTTCGTGGGAGCATTTCACCAGCTGGTCCACATCTGGGAGAGAGACACGGAGGGAATGTCGCCTCTGTGCAAATCTGCATGAGTGCTGCATTTACACGCAGAGAGGTCAGCGTGGGGTGCAGACACAATGAGTTCAGCATCGAGGCCTACGCGTCTATGACTACCACCTAATTTCAAGATGTCTCTGTGGTTGTGGTTCCTTGCCTCCTTCCAAGATCATCCAAGGTGCAAGTTCACAAAGACCTTTTGACCTTTCTGCTGTTTCATAAACCCTGAGTACGAAACCATAATAAAAGAAATCCAAAGTAGGGGTTAATTTGCCCCACTTTAACGCTTCCTTCTCTTTTACTGAAAGTGTCTGATTCTTCCAGATGCTTCTAGAAACATCCTTCTGGAAACCTCATCATAAAGGGTATGTGTATTAGATGAACAATATGTATGTTATCATAGATTAGTATGTATAATTGAGGGTTATGTTCTTACTAATCCTTTTTACCTCATGTGATCCACAGAAATAATAATTAACAACGTCATGTGAATGCATTTATTACTACAGCTTTTATAATAACCCAAAATAGTGATGTTCTGATGTTGGTTACATACAAATGCATGGAAGCATTCGGGGTATTGACTAGAGGCAGGGCCCAATGTCCACAGTAAATCTTAGGGGTCAGATGACGGCACGGTAGTAATGCTACTGGAGCAACACGGGAGCATACTGGGTTCACATCCCAGGGCTCCCCTGAACGTGCCAGGCACATGTGTGTGTGCCCGTGATTTGGGCTGGCTGAGCCTAGGGGTGGATCTCAGGATGATGCCCCTTGCTCTCTCTGCCTCTCTTCTCTCTGCCTCTCTCATGGAAAAAGCCCTTAAAATATCGTAAAAATAAATAAATCATAAATTTGACGTAAACTAACTCTTAAAGTAAATACTAAGCTAAATTAAGTGATTTCTTCTTAAAAGTTTGGAAGCCTTATTGAAGGAGAGTGGTGATTTGTTTCCAATTTGTCTCTCTGAAAAGGTCAATCTGGGCTAATTAACACCACCTTCACTTTCAGTAGAATTAAGAATTACCCCGCAGGCTTTGCAGTGACAAAGTAGGGCAACATGTGGCCAGGTGACCATTTATAATGCCGTTATTGAGGGCGGTGGGAGTTTCCTGTCTCAATTTTGCCTTGAGGGAAAAAGAAAGCAGTTCATTAGTTCAGAGCAGTTTATAGAAAGTCAGAGTTGCAACTCCATAGGAGGTAGGAGCACTGAGGCCTTGGCTACACCGCACATCCCTGGGGTCATTGCCATGTACAGTTTCAGCTTATTGTAAACAGTCACAGATTACGATGTGACCCACTACCCCTTTCTTCATCATGTCCCTGAATTCATGCTGCAGAGAATGGAATGAGGCTCAGCCAATCAGTTGCTTGCATTATTCATTTGTTTTTGAGAGATTTTTGCTATAGGGTGCATGAGCTCGCTAGAGAGACAGAGCGAGACAGAAAGTGAGAAATTACCCCCAGAGGGGATGGCCACACTGCAATCCCTTCTCCTCCACTCTTCTCTTGGGATTTTGGGCATGCACACACATTCACCCAAGCATGTTTCAAGTCACCAACAAAAGTTTAACTGCGGTCCACCACGTGGGAGTCCAGCACCTTAAATGCTACACCACTTGCTGGTCCCACCTACGTCATTTTAAATGAAACTGAATTCTTGATAACTCCTGACTGCCCCTCTCCTCACTGTTCTCTTTGTCGTGTAGACAAGCCCTCTTATAGCTATTTTGGTGCTCACATTCTAGGCAACTGGGACCTATGTCACAGAGACCATAAGCCCCTGGTGAAACTAGACTTCCTCTGCTTCACTTACTGGGTCCCAGCCTCTCTCGCTAAGTCTGGCAGCCCTCCCTTTGTCTTGCTACTACAAGTGCAGTACTCAATAATCCACAAAACGATAAATAAAAGATCATGGGACCAGCAGGTGGTGTGGTGGGTAAGGCAGCTGGATTCCCACATGGCTGACCACAGTTCGAGTCTTCAGAATTACACTGAGCATGTATGTATGCATGCCCAAAATTCCAAGAGAAGAATGGAGGAAAAGGTATTACGCGGGGAAGGGGGCTGGGGGGTGATTTTTCACTTTCCCTCTTTCTGTCTTTCTCTGGCAAGTGCATGTGCCCCGAGGCAAAAACAAACAAACAAACAAAAAAACAGGAGGGTCTGTCTGGCACAAAAACAATCATACTGAACATAGTAGAAGTCTTTGAGAACAAATTTTGGCCAAGTATATGTATTCCAACTACATACTTGGTCATTATGAGAGTATGAACAAAAAAATTACCCCCAGAGGGGATGGCCACACTGCAATCCCTTCTCCTCCACTCTTCTCTTGGGATTTTGGGCATGCACACACATTCACCCAAGCATGTTTCAAGTCACCAACAAAAGTTTAACTGCGGTCCACCACGTGGGAGTCCAGCACCTTAAATGCTACACCACTTGCTGGTCCCACCTACGTCATTTTAAATGAAACTGAATTCTTGATAACTCCTGACTGCCCCTCTCCTCACTGTTCTCTTTGTCGTGTAGACAAGCCCTCTTATAGCTATTTTGGTGCTCACATTCTAGGCAACTGGGACCTATGTCACAGAGACCATAAGCCCCTGGTGAAACTAGACTTCCTCTGCTTCACTTACTGGGTCCCAGCCTCTCTCGCTAAGTCTGGCAGCCCTCCCTTTGTCTTGCTACTACAAGTGCAGTACTCAATAATCCACAAAACGATAAATAAAAGATCATGGGACCAGCAGGTGGTGTGGTGGGTAAGGCAGCTGGATTCCCACATGGCTGACCACAGTTCGAGTCTTCAGAATTACACTGAGCATGTATGTATGCATGCCCAAAATTCCAAGAGAAGAATGGAGGAAAAGGTATTACGCGGGGAAGGGGGCTGGGGGGTGATTTTTCACTTTCCCTCTTTCTGTCTTTCTCTGGCAAGTGCATGTGCCCCGAGGCAAAAACAAACAAACAAACAAAAAAACAGGAGGGTCTGTCTGGCACAAAAACAATCATACTGAACATAGTAGAAGTCTTTGAGAACAAATTTTGGCCAAGTATATGTATTCCAACTACATACTTGGTCATTATGAGAGTATGAACAAAATCACGTTTCACCCACTTCTGAGTCCTCCTTACCTCCGAGGCCTCTCTCTGCAATCACACGGATGGCCTCCCCAATGTTACACCCCGGCTGAAAAGTGCCTCCATTGGGATAAATGTCAACATGCCCCACTGGTTTCTGGATCCCGATGCTTCGGCCGGGAGACCCTCTGGTGAACGTGTGCAGGACATCCACAAAATCCGCATCATCGGGAGAAAGGCGACTTGGGGCTTCTGCATACTCAAAGTTAGGTCCGGCAGGATCGAGGCCTTGATGGGAACACAACAAAAGACCCAGAAGTTGTTACATGTCCGCTAGTTGTAGTTCCCACCAGACTCACCTTCACCATTGCTCCCCATTCCAACGTAACCAGCAGCCACTTGGGTCTTTATTAGCACCTACTCTGTTGTAATAAGAACTTTAATTGCTACAACAATCTTAAAAGTAGGCATGGCTTCTAAAATGGAGCTTGAGTCTCTTAAACTAGCCACTGTACAGTGATTGTCACTCTAGATGGCTTGATTTCCTTTTGCATCATTGCTGAATGATGAGATGACTAAACAGTGTTGAGTCCCCCCCACCACACACACACATACACTGCTTGTCTCTGAACGCCAAACCATCCACCACCACTTGCTTAGATGACTGTCTTCCTTTGAATGGCCCCTGGATTCGGTCTTTTTTTCCTTTTCCCTAGCACTGATGTGAGAGGCAGAGGGAGGAGGGATGCAGACTCTTCTGGGGACCCAGTGGGCATTCTTGCTTTGTTCTGCTTTATTTCTGTGCTATTGCCAGTAGATGTTGAGCCCACGAGAGCAGGCATCTGTGTTTGACCTTATTCCTTAGAAACAGTTCTCCAAAAGACGATCAAGCACCAGATCCATCCCCGAGAGGAACACCACACACTCGCAAATTTAACCGACACCCTTCCGACCCGCTCTGGTACGGTGGGCGGCACTGCTCTCTTACCGGTGATCCTGTTCACCTTCTTATTGGTCAGACTTCCTGCCACACCAGCAGCGTGGGCTCCAAGACTGTATCCTAAGAGATGGACATTATCCAGTGGGTAGTTAAATTCCTCCTGTGGAAAATAAGAAAAAGATTAAGAGACAGTACCAGCAGATGATGTAATGGCTATGTTGCTGAACTCCCATGTAGTCGACCCAGTTCAAGTCCTGGACCCAGCACGTTAAACTCAGGCCGGGCGCGTGTGCGTACGTGCCCAAGATCACAAGAGGAGAATGGAGGAGATGGGACTGTGGCGAGGCCATCCCCTTGGGGGTCAACTTCTTGCTTTCTGTCTCTCTGTCTCTCTCTCTGTCTTTCTGGCGAGCACACGCATACTATAGCAAAAACCTCTCCAAAAAAAAAAAAAAAGAGTAAGAGAAAGGGTTCTTAGAGTTCTTTGCCAAGGAACTAAAAGTTCTTTGCCAATATTACTAAAAGTAATATTGGGTGGCTGGAAAAGTCATGATGCATTTTGCATAGACAAATATAGAACAGAATACATCATGGCTTTTCTGATAACCCAATGAAATGAATGTAAGGATTATTTCCAAAATATAAGTAATAATGAAAATTAATCCTGCTTATTTTAATTTTGTGTTATAGGCAAGGGAAGCATATGTTTAGTACTAAGATTCTGTTTTTCTTTAATAACAAACTTGAATTAGAAAGTTTTCCCTATCTCTCAAATTGCATTACTTATATATATAATATATGTATGTAATAAACAGGTTAGGCAGCCCTCATCTGAAAATCCGAAGTCCAAGATGTTCCAAATGATGAAACTTTCTGAAGACTGACATGGTGCTATGAGTAAAATGTCACTTTTGGCCTCCTGGTGACATGAGACAGTCCAAACACTACAATATAAAAATATCGTATAAAATTACTTATGTGTATAAGGTGCATATAAAATAGAAATAAATGTCATGTAGTGACTTGGGTCCTACCCCCAAGATATCTCATTATGTGTATGCAAACATTCCAAAATCCAAAAGCATCTGAAATCCAAAACACTTTGGTCCCAAATATTTCTGGTAAAGGATACACACACTGTACATGTGTGTATATCAATATAAAATACATAAACACATATATATTTAATGGTGACCCGTTGTCCTCTACTCCAAATACCTCACATCACTTTGCTTTTGAAGGTTAGTCAAAGCATAATTTAGTATCAGAAAATATTGGGTCATCAGGAAAGTCATGATGCTTTTTTCTGTTTTTTTTTTTTTTTTTTAATGCAAAGATGTCAGGGCGTGTGCACTCATCAGAAAGACAGAGAGGGAACATGAAAAATCACCCCCCGCCCCCAGAGGGACAGTCATGCCACAATCCGCTCTCCTCCACTCTCCTCCTGGGATTCGGGGCATGCATGCACACATGCCCAGCCTGTCCCTA